TACAGCAGTCACATTGTAGTTGTCCATTAGCGATACATTTACGTTAATAATACAGATAGGTACAGATAACTGATAACACTTACTATCTTAATAGCTAACACATGTACAATCCCTGTTTCTACATATCAAACAAATCATAACCCTCCTTATCCTTTGCCGTAGTCGGATAAATGAGCTTTGATTACCGAATAGAGTGAAAGTGTCACGAAAGTTTACACACATTTTGAGAAGGTAAGTGGAAAAGCTTAATATTTCAACAAAATACCTGATTTAGTTAATAATCTAAAAAAAAAGGTTAGGAATCGAACCAGCGACCTCCGTAGTTTTTTTTTATTCCAGAAAACATTATAATAAGTTAATATTCCTTTGAAAACATTGAAAAGAATACACTATACTTAGTAAATAATTCAAAATGGACTTCAGAACCTCAAGTCTGAGTAAAATTTCACAAAGTAGCTAAGTAAAGTTTCAAATTAAATGCACGATTTTCCACTTGACTTGTTGATTCACAATGTGGTAAATTCATACGATTTTTGTTAGATGATATTATTAAAATTTGTACTTACGTATTACACAGTCCCAAACTAAGCAAAGCTTGTATTATGGGTACTATAGTATTATACCGGAGCACGAAACGCCTTGCTATAAACTTGCTCATAAATCACAAGTGTAATACAGGCCTAAACGCCGAATGTGCATTACACGGCCAGTCTGCCTCAGCCGCAGTGCTCTAACACCGATAAGCCATTTACGAGGGCCTAACACAACTTTGCTTATTGCAAAAAGTTTCGTTAATCCAATTTAAATCGAAAATCCGCGCGAAGTTGACCCTCATTTGAATGTGTTACGGTTTTAAGGATTACGGACTTAAGCCACATTAGCATTTTCCTATGGTTTTCCTTCAGTGTCTGCTGGCGTGAAAATGACTCAATTTGACTGAAATTGGCAAAAGTTTTATTTTATAGGTCTTGTTATTAACTACCTATGCCATTTATAAACAAATGCCTCTATGAGGGTCGCAAAGCCTCAAAGGTCATAAAAACTACCTCAGTAAAAAACACAGTAAAGTTTTAAAAATAGATTTATCCGAAATCTAATCTATACTAATATTATAAAGCTGAAGAGTTTGTTTGTTTCTTTACTTGAACGCGCTAATCTCAGGAACTACTGGTCCGATTTGAAAAATTATTTCAGTGTTAGAAAGCTCATTTATCGAGGAAGGGTGGAATTTTGTAATGCCACCTGGAGGGAAAGTACTCTTAATATTGTAGATAGAAAAAATTTCTCAAAAAAAAACATTCCTTTATTTTTGAAAAGAAATAGAACTGCATTTAAAGATTTCCAAAAATTTGCTTGCTACACCCGGGAATCGAACCAACTAAAATCTGTAAAAAATTACACCCTGTATTTTATTGCATCGATCGTTAGGGTTAAGTATAAGGATGAAATCTCTCTAACAAACTTGATGAATCAAATGAAAGGAAAACCATGAAATCTTAAATTATCTTAATTATTTACAGAAATTTGTATGGTATGGTAGCGAATTTTCGAAAAATTTTCGAAAATTTATGGATGCAGTTCTCTTTCTTTTTGAAAATAAAGGAATGTTTTCTTTCAGTACAATTTTCTATTAACTAACAGTATTAAGAGTAGCTACTTTCCCTCCAGTTGGCATTACAAATTCCACCCTGTATACCATCACGATGCGAGTAATAGGAGAAGAGCAACCGCCTCTGTCGTCTAGTGGTTAGACCACCTGCTTCAGACGCAGAGGTCCCGGGTTCGATTCCCAGTGGGGGCAGATTTTTCTGTTCGGTTTGGTTGGTGGTAGGGCTTGTTCTAAGTCCGCCTGGCTAGCTACCACCATCTTACCTAAGTCTGTCGCCATAACAACAATGTTAACAGCATTATTGTGTTCCGACAGTTAGAGGTAAGATAGCCAGTTCCTCCGTGGTTGAGGATTCCGGGTGAAGCTCGCTTCCCCCTTTGGCCTGATCGTCNAAAAAAAAGACAATGAAAAATGATGCAGAAACGGGTTTTCACGCGAACGAAGTCGCGGGCACAGCTAGTAATATTATAAAGCTGAAGAGTTTGTTTGTTTACTTGAACGCGCTAATCTCCGGAACTACTAGTCCGATTTTAAAAATTCTTTCAGTGTTAGATAGCCCATTTATCGAGGAAGGCTATAGGCTATACAGCATCACGCTACGATTAATATGAGCAGAACAACAATGAAAAATGTTGCGAAAACGGGTTTACACGCGAACGAAGTCGCGGGCACAGCTAGTTATGTATAATATGTCAACGTGAAATTGTGAACTCTGTCAGTTTATAATATAACGCGTTAGATTGTAAACTAACAGTGGGTTAGGTTAGGTTAGATTGTAATTTAACTACGTCAGATTATAAATTTGTCGGAATTCACAATTTTACGGTGACATATTATTATACAAATGCGCAGATGTTGTATGACTTAAAGTATTCGGTCCCTACAACATCGAATGGTCAGGGGGTCGCATAATATTTTTCATACTAGGGGGGTCGTGTCATGAAAAAAGATGAAAAACACTGCTCTATGTAACAGCAATAATGCCTTTTTTAAAGGCCCAAAAGTATTGAAACACCTTTACACATACACGTCCCAAGCACATACAAGGTTGCTTTTGATCACAATACTAAACCGGCCAAAAAACAGATGTTCATTCGAACTCGCTAGATTGCTAAAATTTCACGGCCTTCTTCCAATTTGATTCCCATTGATGTCCGCACCAAAGAGATAAATCACAAAACGCGGGGCGGATCACGTATCGTAAATTCTGTCGTGAATGTATGAAAGGATGTAATGAGATTGTGTCATGGACTGAAAATTTTAATTGGACGGTATTATTAAAAACGCCGCCCGCTGATGAAACCGCCATTCTTCGTTACGATTCGATAGATTGATTGATTCCGAACGTTGCAAAGATAATTGTGTTTATTGATATTCATAGTCGAGATTCGTTTTACAATAAAATTGATATGGAATGAAGCGCAAATATTTTTTATAGAGCAGGCTTCGAACTACCGAACTACTGAGTCGGTACTCGGTAATTATCTACTTATGAAAGTATGGCAAAACTAACCATCTTTTAATCACGATTTTTAACTGTCGTACCTATACTTATTTATTTATTTAAAATTTAATTCCATAAGATAATTAATAAGTACATAAGGCGAACTTAATGCCAATGAGCATTCTCTGCCAGTTAACCTTTGGGCTAATACCTGTGCTAATACCAAAAAAATCGTATTATGCCTCCTCTGACCTATTAAGTAAGGGCTACAGGTTTTGGAAGAAGACGAGTCCCAATAACCTAATGCTTCAGTCGAGCTTTATTCAGTCTAAGGCTGCATCGTTAGAACGAAGAATGTCATTAAGTGGCGGTATAGTTAGAACATCTCCCTCTTACATCTGAAAGCATGTACGAGTATCTAGAATGGGGATCGAATCCAAGTAGAGTGTAATTGAGCGGAATTTTGGCTATTAAACTCAGCTTCGTCCCAATGGGTCCATCTCGAAGGCTGTGTGAATCAATTTCTCAGTCGGGACCCTCATCAAGGACGCAATCTGCCGGGATCGTAGATAATATCGGGATACAATTAATGACCAGCTAACATTTGCTACAGATCAGTCCATTTGTCACAATTATGGACTTTTTGGTTGCTTAAAAAACCTAGGAGCAGACTACAGACGGCGTCACGTTAAGCCATACAGTGGGGACTTATTCAGTGGCAATAGAGGCGATTCTGCACTTAAATTTTCAAAACATATTAAATTGTTTGCTAGCAGTAAGTACTTAACATGATTTTAAACACTTATTGCTTTAAAAATGAAATATCTTATCCTGCTAAAAGCTCAAGCAATCTACTTATAGGTACATAATAGATCACAACAACGCCACTTACTTAAGTAATTTGGCTTCCAGAACAACTACATAAAGTAAGACTTCTAGTTATTTTCGTAAAAACCTATCACTGGTAGGATTTTATTTTAACCATTATTTTCATCAATCTACTTACCAATTTATGGACCTCTACTGACATCTACCGAAATTTAACTGATATGGCTTGCAACGGAGTTTTCCATGTTGTAGGAAAAATACGCAACCATGTTGGAACTTCGTTGAGGGCAATTCTTCCGTTGCGGGTGTTAAAATGCTTTAGGTAGGTACACTCATTTACAAGAGATGGTGCTACAGACTAGGTACTTACTACCACAGGTATTACAATTTCTTCGCCTTTAGTAAAAGCAATTTAGAATCTATAAAAAGCTAAAAATTACGATAGAACTATCAACATAAAGACTGGTATGAATTTCCCTGCAAATACTATTTAAGCAAAATGTCGAAGGAAGTAGTCTAATAATTAAGCTTTCTAAATAAGTTTTAACAACATTCACTAAATATTTTATGTAGGTAATTACGTAGCCCAAAATTTTTACTTTCTTCTTCTTCTTTGTTGTTGGCAATACTCGAGGCTGACTTGATTTATGCCAGTGTCAAGTAATTTTTAATTCAAGAAAAACAGAATTCAATTTTGATGAAATAATCAATATTAAAAGATACTTAGATGAGCTGATGATACCCCTACCCCTTGAGTTTCAGTAAAGATGTGGCAAATAACTGTAACCAGACGGACGCGGACTTAACTAGCTAGACTGCTAGAGGGAACTTGAAAACTGATGTTGCATTGTTTTATTTAATTTGCCTACACTATGAGTGTAGGCAAATTACACGTTCTCGAATACCTAATGGTTGATAATATAATCCAACATTATTATTTATAGTGAATAAACACGAATTTTAGTAATTAAAACTTTTGTTTTATTTTCCCATGAAATATCATGACTTCCCGCCAAGAAATCCAATTTTTACTTCATAATTTTTAATTTTTCGACCGTGTCTATGATCCGAGCCGTTTATACCGTTACACGTTAATATAACTGGTGAAACGGCACCTTAATTTCGCTATCGGCCTTTGTCGCGCCAACCTCGTTTGTAGTCGTGCGATTACAACGCTCCCAGTGTCACGGGTTTGAGAGGCAAAAATCGAAATCTTCGCGCATTGTCTGTCATTCAAAATTTTTATTTGAATTTCTTCACAATCTAAAAAGTGAGTAAAACTTATTATGTGTAGTGTTCTTACCATTAGTTTATTGTAAAGTTGAGAACTAAGGTGACGTAAATACTCGTAACCTTGTGTCGCATGTCCTACGTTGGTGATCATGATGAGTTATCTAACCTAAAAAGTGGTCCAAGTTCAATCTAAAACGTCTGGTGATAAATGTATCCCTGAACTGAATTATAATGTAATGTATATTGTGTCAAATCCTGACTATTCAGTGGGTCACTACTGGATTTTGCGCTTACGTAACGCATGTCATTATTACGACACCTTGCTCTGTGAAATTCCCAGTTGACTTGACATTGATCTTGACTCAATTCTTAGCTCTAAATATATTCTTAGATAAAATTCATAATATGCATTACATAACATTTTCATAAAAAAGTCTCTTTCATAAAAGCCTTCTTGGACCTTTGTTCTGTGTATGGGCGTGAAAAGTTCTAAGTGAAGACTTTGAACTTTTCTCTTTCGACTTCCAAATTATTGGTAGGTAGGTACTAGGTATAAGTTTTGTTTTCATAAAATAAAGTTTTGTGTTAAATACTCTTCTCAGAAAACATGGGTGTTCCTGCTGGCAATGCTGAGAATGGAAAGAAGATCTTCGTCCAAAGATGTGCCCAGTGTCACACTGTAAGTATTGTTTTTTTATTATGTGTTTAATCTTGAAACGAATAATAGATTCAATCATCTCCCATGCCTTCGTCATCAGCTCTTAATTTTATACCAAACTCAATTTAAGTCCCCACACACACTACCGATAATTATAGAAAATTGATTATTGCAGGCAGATATTTTAAGTGAAGCAATGTACAGTGAACAGTGTCAATGTAAATGAAATCCATCAATTAAACTCTAGTACCATTATACTCACCTAGTACCTACTTGAAATTTTTTGATACCATTATACAGTAACCATATTGTACATTACAGGTTGAGTCTGGCGGCAAACACAAAGTAGGACCCAACCTACATGGATTCTTCGGTCGCAAGACTGGTCAAGCATCTGGCTTTGCTTACTCAGATGCGAACAAAGCCAAAGGTAAATTTATATTCATACTCCATCATCCACAATGAATTTTATAATATGATATTTCCATTGAATATGAATATTTTACATCATTATCCAGAAAATAGTAATATGGAGTAACATTTGTGAGATTGACTTTTATGCTATACATTTATTATGCTGACTATCTCAGACATAAATACAACAAGTTACATTACATTGTCCTCTGATCTTAATTAACTCACAGTACGTAATGAATTCTATAATTAAGAAACAATGTGTCTTGCATCATGTCCTGACTGACATACTGTATGATGTAAAACAACACCATTATAGTTGCTAATCTTAGACATAACTTCAGAAGTAATAATGCTGATAATATTTATCAAATTCCTAAAGTGATAGTATTCATTGTACTATCTATGCCAGCATTATATCAGTACTCAATAAATAAATCGGCATTTAATGAATGATATAATTTTTATTTTTCAGGTATCACCTGGAATGAGGACACCCTCTTTGAATACCTCGAGAACCCCAAGAAATACATCCCTGGAACCAAAATGGTGTTCGCCGGCTTGAAGAAGCCCAACGAGCGCGCAGATCTTATTGCCTATCTAAAGGATGCTACTAAGTAAATCATTTTTAGGAAATAGTACGAAGTAGGAAGGAAGTTCCATAATATTTCTGGAATTTTCTTTCTATTTTTAGCCCAATCAGTATCATCAATTTGCATATTGCAATAGTGATAGTTGCAAAATGTTTAGGCAAATATTTACTCATTACCATGTCATATTTATTGTAGTCGTACTGAGTGTAACTGTGAGCGATGGATACCTAACAACAATGATGTGAGTTATTTGATGTTATTAAATTATTAATTGACGTCACATTTAGCTTTTCATTTGTGAATGTTTTCACATAATTATTTATTTACCAAACTAATCTAACGAAATGTTACCTAAATTATACTATTTAAAATAAATTAAATAAAGAATTTTAAGTTCATACATATAGATTTTGTTTTGTTTTTGCATTCCCTTTTTTTAGGAAATAGCAGCATCTATATATATAAAAGTACCTCTGTCTACTTATATCAACGTAAAAATAATGTCAATCGAGAGGGACTACAGAACATGATTGTTTGCAGTGACAGTGGTGTGAAATGAATCATCAAATTAGGGATATTCGATATACATCGATGTATCGAAAACATCGATGTTTACAATGCGATACATCGAATGGATCCGATATTTTGAAAAGCTATTGAAATACTCGATGTATCGATGTTTTTAAGTTTTCAGTGTTAAAACATCGAATCGATGATAACCAATTAAAATTTCATAAAACTCAAGTCTGACCACTAAAATTTTACTTATACGGACAACCTAACTTGTATTTTAAAAATGTTGGCAACACTGCATACGAGTGCAGTGAGTAGTGTCTCTAGTGACAATAAAAAAAAAACTGTTATGTCAATGTCGCGTCACGCGTGTCGGTTGGCGAGTTTGTTTGTGTCAATCAACAAAGAAATAGGCTGAAAGGCAAACGTTTAAATAAACTGTTGTTTTTGCAAAGTCTTCCAAAAGAACACTGGAAATACTTAGGATATAACAAACTTATAAAAATAAATGCGGATGTTTTTTTTTGTTCTTACTTTAATATACAGTGTGAGTCACGTTAAAGTGTACATATGAAAATATGTGAAACTAGACCTATTTTTATCGACAAAAAAAAGGTCAAAAAATTTTTGAGATTTTTTTTTTAATTTTTTAAAGAATTTTTTTTTCTTACAATTACTTCTCGTAAAGAAAACGTAATAACTTTTAAAGTAAGAGGTATATCCTGATAAAATAAAAACAGTAATAATGCTAAATAACAGGCGATACTAAAAAAAAACATAAAATACCCAGAAAATGCCAACAAATAATAAAAAAATATACTTTTTGAAAAAAATCTGCTTTTAAATTCGTGTTTTTTTGGTTATTTGATAAATTTCTCCAAAAAATGCCCCTATAACAGGTATTTTTTATTACTTTGTATTATTCTCTATCGTATTACTTTTGTAAAACCAAAAATTGCATGTCTCTATCCCTATCACAACATTTGCTATGATCGTTTAAACAAAGGCCTGCCACCACATTATTCTCCACTACAGGTGGAGACAATTTTAATTTTAACTAAAATGCTTATTTTACTTCGAAATCTTTTGTTTTTATTTGAAATGTAACTCGTCTTTATCAAAATTACAAATCTAGAGCCAGTTTCAGTTTCGTTGTTAACGAAGCGTTGAATGGCCCGCCCGGAGAGGCTTAGTTCAAACGATCATTGCAAACATTGTGATAGGGATAGAGACATGCGATTTTTGGTTTTACAAAGGTAATACGATAAAAAATAATACAAAGTAATAAAAAACACCTGTTATGGGGGCATTATTTGGAGAAATTTATCAAATAACCAAAAAAACACGAATTTTAAAGCAGATTTTTTTCAAAAAGTATATTTATTTATTATTTGTTGGCATTTTCTAGGTATTTTATGTATTTTTTTAGTATCGCTTATTATTTAGCATTATTACTATTTTCATTTGATAAGGATATACCTCTTAGTTTAAAAGTTATTACGTTTTCTTTACGAGAAGTAATTGGAAGAAGAAAAATTCTATAAAAAATAAAAAAAAATCTCAAAAATTTTTGACCTCTTTTTTGTCGATAAAAATAGGTCTAGTTTCACCTATTTCCATATGTGCACTTTAACGTGACTCACACTGTATAATGAAGACTTTTCTCATGTATGGCTTTTACTGTTTTTTAATAATACAATGCTTAAATTAGTGGATTATAAAAAATCTTAAAAAAGTACTCGATTTATACAAAACATCGATGTTTTCTTCCAATACATCGAAAGAAATCGATGTACAGTTTCAAAATATCGAATCGAAAAAAACATCGATGTTTTTTCAAAGTGGACACCCCTACATCAAATTGCTATTGCATCATAAAATAAGTGAAATTTAAGTAAAATAATAATTACAGTTATTTGTAATTATGATTAATACTCAAGAGTGAATTTGACTGATGTGACTACTAAAGGATGAAATTAATACGTCTTGAATCCAATCTTGAATCTTCGCAAGTTTGCATCATAGAGTAACTTCACAGTTCGCATCTCTTATAATTTGTGATCTCATGCAAGCTATTATGTCCTATCTCTACTATCGATTGAATAAATCTTTGCCTATCAAATTAATAAATAACATCGATACGAACCCGATACGATGTTGTCAAGGGCCATGCCAGCCAGAGACTAAACCGATATTTCCGGTTCAGGTACCGTACTATCTCTAAATTAAAAAATGTAATTTCACTGAAATGACACCTGTCATTTTTGACATTAATAACAGTGACAAGATGACACTGACACATGCAAAAAGAATTTCTTGGACTGGTTTTTGGTGTGGTGATAATGTGGATGAATTTATTTTGATTTCATAATTATGGGCCAGTAATCCTGTAATAATACAAGGACGAATTAAACTCCATTCATTATAAGTTTCTGATTACTTTTGACAGTGAAATTCATTTAGAAAAATTTAATGTGATTTTGAGTTAAGTCATACAAATGAGACAAGTTGATCTATTTTGGTAAGTTGTGCTTGCATTCTGTGTATGTATTACGTTATTTTAAAATCTATTTATTATTTACATTTCACTTCTTATATGTTTTTATTGTTCTGTTATATTTTCTCACTTATCAGATCATACATAACGGGATCAAGTTTACATTATTGAAGAAGTTTAAATAATTATGCGTTAAAATGGCCAAAGCATCAGTTGTATTGAGCTTCCATGAGATATTGTTGCATCGGTCAGATGTAGAGCTTTTGGATGGGCCTTATTGGCTGAACGATACGATTATATCATTTTATTTTGAATACCTAGAACGGATTTTGTTCAGTGGTGCCAGTGAGTTACTGTTTGTTTCGCCTGAAGTCACACAATGTATTAAAATGGTGGAGACTAATGAGATTAAAACCTTCTTGGAGCCGCTTGATATCAATAGAAAGAGATTTGTGTTTTTTGCACTGAACGACAATGACTCTCCGGACACGGCTGGTGGATCGCACTGGAGTCTCCTCGTTTATTCCAAACCAGAAAGCTGTTTCTACCACTTGGACTCTTCATCTGGAAGCAATCATAATGTAGCATGGGAATTTGCCAGTCATTTGATTACTTACTTTTCAAAAGGAGGTAAGATTTATTCTATTCTGTATAACTTATTAGGCAGACATCATTTTCCCTTTGCTATTAAAAATGAAGTAACAAAGACCATTGAATTTGACTATTTTGAACTAAATAAACTATTTTTCTTTCTACTTTATTTAATTTGTTTTTACAGAGGCTGTCAACTTCGTAGATAAGGAATGTCTTCAGCAGAGTAATGGATACGACTGTGGAATTCACGTCATTTGTAATACCGAGCGGTTGGCCGATTGTGCCCACAAACATGGCCACATTGGCACATGCGACATGCTAGTCAAAATCAACCCAAGTGCTAAGAGGAAAGAAATTATTAACATTATTCATAACTTGTCTAATTCAGATTAATAACTTGGTGTCTTGAAACTAGATAATTGGTGTTAATATATTGTTATGTTGGTGTTTATGTTGACTAATATTTATAATAAAGGTTAAAATCTAAATTCTCACAACCAAATTCTTTTGCTTGACTTTCCATTTCAAACGCGATAAATTGGCTAATAATAGAATCAATTCATACTAGTTACTTAATTTTAGAGTATACCATACGCGATAAGCGATTCTCTTTACTTTTGCTAAAAACTCGTAAAATTGCCGACGAGCAGAACAGCCTCTTAGACAAAGTTACATTTGTGACAGCTTCAATTTCGCAATCGCCTTTAATTCTGGAATTATAACAGGGCAGGTATGACTAACTATCTCTTTATTAAATAACAACTAGGTTCTACTAGTCTCATTGTCTGATGCAATTGATGGGGTTTCCCAAATTGATCCTAATATTGATTGCTTTAAACTAAAGGATAATATTTTTTTTATAAAATAAAATAATAACATCAAATTATTCAAGCCAATTTTATTATGCTTATTATTAAGAAATAAGATTTACACCGAAAGCCGTAAACATCATTTAGAAAAATAAATAAAAATATAAGTAGTAGAATATAGATTACTTGTATGAAATAGGATCACTTGTTAAAAAAAGATCTGAGGCAAATTAAGATTTTATAGGTTCGACCCAGCCGCCGAACGCTTTTTCTAGTTCTTCGGCGACAGCAAAGCAGAATCTATCGTTGTTGTGATTTGAGACTACCTGAATACCAATCGGAAGACCTTCGCGTCCCAACCCTAGAGGTATATTCGTAGCAGGCAATCCAAGGCAGTTAATTATTGCGGTGTAACTGAAATTGAAAGGTCTTGCCAAAGGCTCGTTGTGATACAGCGCTGGCGTGGGATGTGTCGGATACAAAAACACTCCATCGTCGCCAAGCATTTCTTTGAACTCCTTTTCCAATTTATCTTTCAGTTCAACGTGGTATTTGTACTTTGCGTCCCCGTATTCCGCTCCTGTGTGATCCGACAGCGCTGTGGCTAACCCAATTAAAGTGTTGCCCGAGCAGCCAAAAATATTCTTGAATATCTCAACGATAATAGCGAACACGCCTTTCTTTTCCATAATGTTTTCCTCGTATTTCTTCGTTCTCTTCATCGTATTCATCCATATTGGCAAAGATTTTTTTAGTAGTTGAATTTTCTTCTCTTCTGCGTTAACATTATGTTTCTCCTTCAAGAATTCCACGGATTTCTTCATAGCGGCAATGATGTCTGGGTCAACTGAATCAACCAAAGGTTCCTTGCTGCTGAATTGGTAGTACACCTTAAGTTTGCTGACATCTACGGCCTCATTAAGTTTCAATTTGCTACTGTTTTCGCCGGCCATAATATTCAGGAGTGGTTTTAAGTCTGATGCGTATCGCGTCATAGGGCCAATACCTGCAAAAAAGTCGTAGAAATTCATTGATAGAAAATCCCTGGAGCATTTGCCCTTTAAAGTACCTACAGTCTATAATGCTACTATTAATCTTAATCCATAAAACATTAAATAAACTGTGGCATATTTACAAATGTCTCAACTACATGCTCTGAAGCATGCTCTATTTATTTATTTATTACATATTTTAAAACCTCATCACATTCTTATCTTCGCCTTATCTAGTTGATAACAAATTACCTAAGAAAGAATTATGAAGCTCCGTCTCCGCTTCAGGGAACTGCCCGTCGTTGGAGACTATGTGCCTAGAAGGCTTGTGTCCAAAGATACCGTTGAAGAAAGACGGCATGCGGATTGAACCACCGATATCAGAACCTGAAAATAAAAGCAATATAAGTCAATCAAAAAGTATTATTTTATTAGTACTAGGTAGGTATAAATCATTTGTATTTTTACTATGCACGCATCTGTAGAGATTGTAACTTATCTAAAGTCATATCAAATGGCCCATCCATAGCCGCTCGTATCAAATAATGTTGCTGATAAAAATAAAAGAACATTAAAAATGTACAATAATAACAACATAAAAGTGAGTAGATTACATTTTGCCAATTCATTCGTCTGTGAGTCAGTAAAATACTTTTCAGATTAGATGGATGTTTAAAATCAGTGACAACTTTTAAAACTAGCAGCCTCTATACGTTCAAATCTTCAAAAAAAGACTAGGGTCTTGTTCAGACATCCGCGATAACCGCGCGGTTTCTGGGTGGTTCTCATTCCCAAGGCACTGAGGCGGTAACCGTGCGGTTTTTATTTGATGCAAATGTACGAGAACTGCTCAGTAACCGCGACATTTTTGCTGTGTCTGAACCAGGCCTTAAAACTCATTATTAATTCATCTCTTTCGCTGTCCCAAACTCACCTACTCCGAAGATACTTCCAGCAGCAGCCTGTATAGTGCCCTCTCCTCCTGAAGACCCACCTACTATCCTCGTCGTGTTGTACGGATTGTTCGTTCTACCATATAAATGGTTGTGCGATTCCCACCTGAAAAATAGTGAAGAAGCGAATGAGAAGCTACGCTTATTAATAACTGATGTGTCTGTTAAGCTAAGGCTACTTTTAAATTTTATTAAATCCAGATAAACAGGCAAAAACCAAATGACAGAGAAAAACCAACTGTCTCCTTCCACGCAAATCCTTAGTTAAAAGAGAGGTCTCAATTTTCATTGGTCTGAAATTCCTATTAAAATTTTTATTTCAACGGTCCTAATATTGTTCTGCTCTGGAAAATAAAGTGAAGATTTTTATTTTAAGCAGTTTTACCAATATACTGGATTGTAATAGGAGATGTTATACAAGCAGACTCCATAACAGGTTAGTTAACATAATAAAACTGGTTTCCATAAAAGACTTGGTATTCTTTACCTATGCTAAACACACATGGACCGGTCGGTTTAGTTTTAAACAACAAGAGAAGGCCAATGAATCGCGTTCAAGCGTAAGGACACGGGCACTTTTTGAAGTCATATTTAAACTCGAGGGATTGCAAACGGAGGATTTACATTATAATCTTAAACATAAAACTCTGTTCATACATACCACATGCAAAGTTCAGGTACATTAGTGAGGCCGATGATGATGGCGCCCTTTTCTTGTAAGATCCTGATGACGTCCGCTGTTCGGTCAGCGATCACGTCCTTGCGTAGCACCACGCCCGAAGTGTGGTGGAGCCCTAAAATCACAAAATAAGTACAATAATTTTAATACATAAACCTCACGCCTCTAATAAAGATCCGAAAAACACCAGAAAAATAAAGATCCAAATGTACCAACATTATGCAATAAACATTTATGACTATGACTATGACCCCTGATCAGTGAGTCAGTTGACTGGTAAGCCAGCTTTATGATAGATAGGCATGACTTGTTTTTTACTTAATTCCTGAAATATCTTATAAAATACTGGAACTGTAGTTCAACGTTTTCCATGACGACATGCTATGGTCATCAAAATATATTCAATTTACAATAATTGAGTTGGTAGGTATACGTTATTAATTATTATGCAGTAGAGAATACGTAAGTAGTTTTTATATGAGGAAAAATGTATCAACATAGCATTTATGTGATACCTCTTAGATAGGAAAGGTTACAATAATATCGTGATATCATCATTAATCAGATTGCCCCACATAATAAGATTAATTCGATCAAGATTCTAAGTAAGGCGGTTATCACACTGCGCCGCGCTCCGCCGCAGAGCGCGTGATTTTCATATAAAAAATCACGCGCGCGGACGCGTTGTCAGTGTGAAGTGCCGCGCGTTTTCTATACAAACTGAGGTACTTGCATACAATAATTAATTAAATCTGTCGCCCCGCGCTCCGCGGCGGAACGCGGCGCAGTGTGATAACCGCCTAATAGATATGTTATTAAATGACGTTCCATAAATACAAATACAATAAAAAAATATCATTAATTTAATATAACGTCCATTTGCGACGACAGTGTGACATCTTCAATTAGATTAACACAGAAGATGTCCTTCAATTAGATTAACACAGAAGATGTCACGTTGTCGTCGCAAATGGACGATAATTTCAAGCTAATTTCTTGATTAAATTTCACTTAGAAGAAAATCGACAGAGTTTTCGGCATAATACCTACCTTTTACAGCCATGCAGTCTTTTGTAGTGAAAGGAACTCCCAATAGAGGTTTCTCCTCCTCCAATTGCTTGGGAGTCTTGGTCCCGCTCTCGACGAGGGCATCGGCCTCTTTCGCCTCCTTGAGGGCGAGCTCGAAGCGGTTCTCTACGAAGCAATTGAGGGCTGAGTTCACATCGTTAATCCTCCTAATGCAGGTCTCTAGAACTTCCACACTGGTAATCTGAAAATAAAGAATTTTTTTTTAATCTTGTGCAACAGTTCAGGGTCTACCAACTGGGTACGGGAGCATAAAGAAGATTGAATGGATTTTGATATGGTTTTAGCCTTTAATCAGAACTTGAGGACAGGAAATAAAAGTTAAAGTCATTATTTTAATAGTTTTGGGATTTTAAAAAGATAGGAGTTCCTATATTTTTTAAAAATTGCTACTGTTCTGAGACACCAATGCAGAAAAAGCAAAAGAAAGTTTTCAGGTTTTTCTTCAAATTACTACAACATTTGTTTTGCAACTTAGGCTGGGTTGCACTATCTTACTTTAACTTTGACAAAGGTCAAAAATCTGTCAAACTCCATACAAAATACACCGGTTATCGTTATAGTTACGGTCAAAGTTAGGTGGTGCAACTCAGCCTTATTCTTTCTTTTCTTCCTATCCTAACTACAGATCTAAAAAATTACGGCTATAAATTGATATAGGTCATCATTGCACATGAAATGAGACAGCAATGAGCAGCAGCTAAATACGAGAATTACAGATCCACGAGATCTAACGTAATGTTCGTGTAGCTAACAGCCAGTTCATGTCTGCGTGACAATAATGGGGATGTTGCCTGGGTCAAAAAGCAAGAGTTTTAATTAGTCCGTCAGTTAACTTATCAAAAAATACTCTACACGTATTTTTCACTTTTTCAAACTAATGAAAATTTAAAGAGATAAAGCGCCCCAAAGTTCATAAGAAGAGGCCCGTGACGTCAACGCTTGCTTAAAAATGCCGCACGTTGTGACGTCGTGCGCAACTTCAACGCACC